GTGATCGGGGTGACCCGGGTCGAGTCGGGCGAGCACGTTAATCCGCAAGTGAAGTGGGTTCGGCGAGGGAGGGCGCATGGGTCTGTGGTGAAGTCCCAGGAGGCCAAGCAAGACCATGGCGGGATTGAGGAGGCTTTTATTGAGGCTTTGAAGGCCTTGAGGGCTGAGATGTCTGAAGGTGCAGTGAGGGCTTGAGCTGGAGGGATGTGATTGGAGAGGAGGGAAATGAGAGGAAGGAGGAAGTAGGGGAGGAGGTTGAGGTTGTGCAGAGCCATAGCTTTATGTTTTGAGTTTTTGAGCTTTGAAAGAGAGATGGTTTTGAGCTTTTTTATGAGAGAAATGATGTGAAGTGTGGGGTAAGTGGCTGGTGGTGTGGGTTTTGGGATTTCAAATGTCAATAGAGGTTTTTTTGTTTTTGTTTTTGGTTTGGGTATCTATCTGGTTGGAGAGCACTAAGATTTTGGGGTACCAAGATATTTAATTTTATTTATTTATGATGGATGGGGTGAATCTTCTGGCTGAAACTGAAAGGGTGTTTCACATCACACATGTGTCTACTACTTGTTGACATGTTGGTAATTTTAAAGTTTCTAATTAGGACTTTGGTTGGCTCAAAACCCACAAATTGACATTTTAAAATGGGATTAAAATCTCTCTCTTTCTTTGCTAATCTTGTTTTGGAGAGAAACTCTAATGCAAAACGAGGATAGCAATTTATTATTCATGGCCAATAACGCAATGACTCGTATGATAACTTTTTTACATGCCATTATTATTGACTGAGAATAGCGAAACAGTGTTATCCCCATTACAACTTACAAGTTAGGTTTTTTGCTTGTTTTGGTATGAGATTCTGAGCTAATCTTAAGATATTTGCTTGCTGACATGGTTGTTTTCTAGTAATATAGGCTAAGAACTAGTTGCATGGTGACATCTTCTTTGTGGGATAAAGGTCTCACAAAGACAGATAACGTCATTGCACAAGAAAGTCTATCAAAGGTTTGGGGGACATGGGTTGGTGCTTTGTAAGAAGGTAGTGACGATCAATTCATTAATAAGTGAAGAACATGATGTGTGTAAATGGTTGTCGGTGTATTGTCTAGGTAGAAGTACTCAAGTGTAAGCACCTTTGAAGCATAGTCTCACCCCTCTGCGGAGATTATAATCGAGTCTCCCAACATTTATAAGCTCACAAAAAGTGGTAGGTATGAACATTGGTACAATTTAACTCAACCAATTTAGTCCAGGCGAGCCACCAAACTAGAATTTGTCTCTCAAATTCCACTATGGGTAGGTAGCAATTAAAAATTTATATATTCTGATAAAATATACCAGATTTCACTAAATATTTAAAGGTAGTGCTTAATTTCATCATCCCAGCCTTATTTTGGTAAAAATTATTGCATGGAATTGGAATATGCGACCATATGATATAAGCAGACCGTGCTTAATTTTATCATCCCATCCTTATTTTGGTAACAATTATTGCATGGGATTGGAAGGCGGCCCTATGATATAAGGAGGCCATGCTTAGGTTCCTCATCCAAGCATTATTTTGGTAAAAATTATTACATGAGACCGAAAGACGGCCATATGATATAAGTAGTTTACGTATTATAATACGAGTGGATCGATGTGTGTGTAAAGAAAACGAAGAAAGTGCTGCTGATGTTGTCTAGACCTGGGCTTTCACTGGCCCAAAGCTTCAATTGGGCAACATATGCCCACACCTGACCTAGCCATGATTTTCTGAGTACAAAATAAAATCAACAATTTGTATAGTAGGGCCTGGAGGCCCTGCAATATCATTGGAGTATAAAAGTCAACTACAAACTCTACGCTACATCAATCCACATTCTATTATATTAGCAAACCAGAAAATCCCAACCTCCTGCTCACACCCAAGCCATGAAACCCACATTCTTCCTCCTCTTCTTCTTCCTTCTCTCCTCTATTTCCTTCTCCCACGCCAACACAGCCTACCCTTCTATTCCCGGCACCACCTCTGTAGAATATGGCGCCGACACCGACGCTCTGATTCCTCCTCGCCGCGAAGTGTATGGCAATGGCCGAATCTTCGACGTCAGCCACCGCTACAGCACCAACATGCCCGCCTTTGAGACCAACGACGGGGTTGGAGAGTTCCTGTGGCTACCCAATAGCATGAAGAACGGCTCCCTCGCCAACAACTCTGAGTTTAAGCTGCCCACTCACACTGGTACCCATGTCGATGCCCCTGGCCACGTCTTCGATCACTACTTCGATGCCGGCTTCGACGTCGATACGCTTGACTTGGAAGTGCTTAATGGTATTTGATTCTTCTCTGTTTCGTTGATGTTGATCATGGGGTCATGAGTCATGGATTGTTTTGTGTTTCAGAGGAGGTTGATGTGGTTTTGAGTGAGTGAGTGAGTGCTATGTGTTCGACGAAATTACACAAGTTTATATGTTTCTATGGGGGGTTTGGAGCTGTATGAGGTAGGCAAGAGGGGCTGCTGGTTTTTTTATAGTTGAAAACGTGGAAAAAGGGTTTTCCGGATTTTGCTCTTTTGGGTGTCCTGAAGTAGTCTGTCTTTCTTTGAGTTTCAGCAATTGGGTTTGCTTTTCTTTGTGATGTTTTCCTCTTGGTATCGTCGATGCATATTAGCTTCTGACCCTGTTCACGATATAAGGTAGAAAAGGGGAAAAAGTTTATTACTTGTGTTGCTATTGCTTGTGCCACTGACATGTTTCTGATGATTATATGTGTTTGTGTCAATAGGTCCGGCATTGTTAGTTGACGTTCCGAGGGATAAGAACATAACTGGTATGTATTTCTGTTCCTGACTATCTATTCTTTATGTGGAGGAACGCATAGCCTGCTGTTTCAGTTGATATGGCCTTATCATTCTGTCACAATATGCATAGAAATATGTAGGCCTTCCCGTATGTAGGCCATCTCTACTGCTTACTCAGCAACGGGAAGGCCAGATAAGTAGCATTTTGGTTGCTAAACAAACTGTACTAGTAAAGGAGTGAGGAGAACATATCAATGTATTATACTTCATTGTTTTTCAGTTTTTGACTGTCGTATATTTACTTATTACAGCTGAAGTTATGAAGTCCTTACATATTCCCAAGGGGGTACGTCGTGTGCTGTTTAGAACCTTAAACACAGACAGGTACTTTTATATGAATGGTCTTTATATACAATTGCCACTAAACACACACAAACACACACTCACTCACAGGTGTCTACCAGTTAAGTTGTATAAATGCAGTGCTTCTGGTCTTCTATCTGTCATATATTTGTTAATGTGCAAAATGGTAAACTGATTTAGTATGTAATTGCTGGTTTAGTGTTATACTTAGCTCATAGGCTAAGCTGTCTATAATAGTCAAACGGTTTGTTAAGTCTCATAGGACTTGACTGGACAGGTGTCATAATCTTACTAATAGTGTAGTTGGATGGTTGAGATTGAAGCTAGGATTTGTCTAGCTCTCTCTCTCTCTCTCTTCTAACAGTAATATGAGCTGTGAGTGAAACAGCTCCTTATACCCAACGAAATACAAAAGTTTTACAGAGCATTTTATTTCCTTCACTCTCTTCTTCAATATACCCATTCCTCCATTTTTATCAGAAGCTTATTAAACACTAACAATATTCTTAGATGGTTTATATTTTGATCCTTCGGTCTGTAGTTTCTAGTAAGAATGCCTTGTTTGTTTAACTAACCATTTTCGGATAAACAAGGAAACTGTTATGTCTGAGGTGACCTTATCCTCTTTTTTATCATTCCTTCCATCCACCTTTTCTTCATATATTTTCCCAAAACTTGCTTGTATCAATGATTGTACTACTGAAGTTTCTATTAATTCAATTTGATCCATAAGTGTGAAACTATTGCTGAATATTAACTAGCTTACTGCAATTTTAGACGGCTTATGTTCCAAAAGGAGTTTGACAGCAGCTATGTGGGATTTATGAAGGATGGAGCACAGTGGTTGGTGGACAACACTGACATTAAACTTGTTGGTGAGATGTACATTTGCATTTCTTTTTTGGCTTAATAGTTGTTTTTTGCTTGTACTCTTTTTTTCTTTTTTCAAATCTCACTTTACCCCTGTACTTTCTACTGCCTTAATTTACTCGTGTACTTTAACTTCATCTGTCAACTTGCCCCCTGTTAATGGATTCTTTGACGGAATTGGACAAGGCAAGACACAAAGTTAAATAGAAGGGGTAAAGTGAGATTTGGAAAAATGTATAAGTGCAAAATAATGTTTAAGACTTTTTTTGGGCATAACGTGCAGTTTACAAGAGATATAGAGTTCACTCTTGACTTTTCTAATCGACCAATATGATGTCTCAATCTTTCATACAAGGACCACTACAAATCTCAATTGATTTGTTAAGTGGATCAAACTTAACAGGCACCTCTTAAATTTGAGTAGTTTATGGAAGATGTATTCTATGTCCATTATATTCCTTTTATTGAGTGAGAACTTTCTCTGTGAAACATTAGGTTTGTAAATTCGTTTGAAACTGTGACATTATTGTTCAGCGTGCATTTGTATTTAGGGTATGAAATGTATTTAAGTTCTTTCTCAGTGGGGGACTGTTGATTTCCTTGCTTTCTATATTATGATTTCTGTTCCTTCATTTGAAGCTGATGCTTTTCTCTGTTATGAAATGTAGGAATTGATTACTTATCCGTTGCTGCATATGATGATTTGATTCCGTCCCACCTTGTTTTTCTAGAAGGAAGGGTAAGAAAATCTATATTTGATGAATCAAGATTTTTTTTAAATTATTTTTTTTCCGAGGTCATGACTGTTTTAGTTGGATTAGTTCTAGTTGGTAGATTGTTTGTTGCCATCCAATCACAGTCCAACATTAATAAGTGTAGCACCAAAAGATGAGGAAAGATAATAGAAAAGACCACAACTTCGTCCGAATTGATGACTGTTTGATTACAAATAGGACCGTGATCTACCAACTAGATGTCTCCATTTCTCAGAGAAATAGTGAGGTTCCCGAAAACTTGTTTTTGCAGCCCCAACAAACTTGTGTTTTTTTTGTGTGTGCTGAACTACCTTCACAAAATACAAAGAACCGGGTTTTCTAACATGGTGTTCTGGTTCAACCAGAAATGCAGTTTCAACTCAACACTAACACTGCTTTAATGTTTCAGGAAATCATTCTTGTTGAAGCGTTAAAACTTGATGACATCCAACCAGGGATATATTCTGTCCACTGCTTACCTTTGAGGTTGCCGGGTGCTGAAGGATCGCCAATAAGATGCATTCTTATCAAATGAGGCATCTGCTTTGTGTTTTTATCTTTGTAAGTTTTATCTTTTGAAAGTCTATCTTGAACCATCGAAACCCAATCCCATGCTGAAGGCATTTGTCTTTTTGGTTTTGACGTGGGAATATAAATCAGCTTGTGAAAAAGTCACTCTTGGTCCCTGTAGT